GTTAAACCGCTGTACTGCAGCCAAAACTGTGCTCATGACCTGGGGTTTAATCCCAGGTAGCCGGCTCAAGGTAGACTCAGCCTTCTATCCTTCCAAGGTCGGTAAAATGGGTACCCAGCTTGCTGGGGTTGCAATGTGTAGCCTGCATAATTAACTTGTAAAATGCCCAGAGAGTGCTTGAAGCACTCTGGGGCAGTATATAAGCAGCACGCTTTGCTTTGCTTTTTTTCTTTGCTCCCTTTTGACAGAGCCTGTCTTCCCTAATGTCCTTTTTTCTTTACTTCCTCTCACCAGCCTTATCTGTGGAAGTTAGTATGAGGTCCCAGTTAAGAGTGAGCCTTCACTGGACTGAGAAAGAGTAGGGGTTGTTCACAGAAAGAGGATGGGTGATAGAAGAAACCTACAGATGTGCAGCTTCTAAGACTGGGCTGACCAATGTGAGGTGTGATAAAAAAAAATGGTGCATCTCTGCTACTGCCTTCTCCAAAAAACAAAAGAGGGTTCCTTTGACTTCATCACTTTTAAAGATAGATATGATGGGACTAAGAAAAAAACCTTGTTTTTTTTTAAGCTGTGCATTAGAAGACTTTTTTGCATGAGGAGAGGCGTGTTCTATGGCCTCAGAGCTGGGTGCTGGAGACGATGGCAACTGCACAGAGCCTAGATGGGCTGCCTTCCATGGCTGATGAGCCCCACCTACCCGGCCTGCTCTTTAATAGTGCAAAGATAGATATGATGACTAAAAAAAAAACCTTTTTTTTTTTAAAGCTGTGCATTAGAAGACTTTTTTGCATGAGGAGAGGCGTGTTCTATGGCCTCAGAGCTGGGTGCTGGAGACGATGGCAACTGCACAGAGCTGGCAACACCCCTCTATCTGCGATATTTGGAGAAAGCTCTGCGGTTGGATAACTTCTTACGACAGACATCTGCTATCTTCAATAGGAATGTGTCCAGGTATCAAGTTATTTCTTTTGATTTGGAAACTCACAAAAAAGAGGCATTTTATTTATTTATTTATTAGTTTGTGACATCCTTTAAATTTTATCGTTCTCATATTTATGTTAGTCCTTGATCAGTAGAATTTTGAATGATATACAAAAGACTGCAATCCAACATTGTACTGGTGCTGCAGCACTACAGAGCTCCCATCTCTCAATTCCCTTTCTTTTAGCTGTGACACAACAGAGCAGTTTTCTTCTTTTTTCCTTTTTTTCTGTTTTTTTCTGTATTAAGTATATATTTTTTAACTTAATTGTAGTGATGAAAGTGAAGATGGGTTGGACGACAGTTCTCTGCTTCCTCAGCCGGGGGGTCCCTTGATGCAAGTTAAAGAAGAACCTACAAGCTCTTTGCTGGGGGAAGCTTCAGGGGCAGGGAATTCTGGAATGTTAAACACACACTCACTAAATGGGGTAATACAATCTGGTAAGTAACAGAATAAATGTTAGTTACCATTTGATGATGAAATTACTAGTTTTTGCAGATGGTTTCGTATTTGGACCAAGAAACAGTTGTTGTGTCTTAAATTCTTGAAAAATATGCAGCTTAGGCTCACCACTTGGGGGCACATGTGGGCTGGTAATGTTTGTTATTAGTGAATACATCTTTTCTTAAGAGGTAGAGCTGGGATAAATAAATAAAGGATCTTCAAATTGCCTAAAAGATCTTGAGCCGCATGTATATTACAACCATTTTCTTTTTATATATTCTTTAAACAGAGCCAAAAACAGAAAAAGGGAGTCTATATAATTTTTCCAAATTGAAAAAGAGCAGAAAATGGCTAAAGGTAAGGTTTTTATTAATTGGAAATGTAAATTGTCATAATAATATTTTGATCATATTTTTAATTTTTTAATGTCAATGTTTTTTTGAAATATGAAAATTGCTTTTAAAGCACTTAAATATATGTTATAACTTCTTCAGTATTTAGAACTGTGATGAATCAGTTAAAATTGTTACAGGTTTTCATTTCTCTGTTGCTGCTGGCCATGTTTTCATGTCATGTTAAGCCAGGGATTGGGAATCTCTTTTTTTTCCTGTTAAGAGATGGCCAAACATTTCTCTCTCTCTCTTGCTGTGTCTTTCAGAGAGAAAATAATAGTCCCATGTTCCCAACTTCTGTGGCCTACCATTCCTCCTTTCCTATGTGGAGGATTCCACAACAAGCCAGCTTTGTAACTCATATTGTGAAGTTGGCTTGTTCTAAAATCAGCCACAAATAACAATCAATCAATCAATCAATCAATCAATCAATCAATCAATCAATCAATCAATCAATCAATCAATCAATCAATCAATCAATCAATCAATCAATAAATAAATAATCTGTATAGCACAGCCAGAGACTTTTCAGTGAAAATAAAGCAGAGTTCCCAACATGCTGTTCTAGTTGTGAAGGAGGAGTGGAAATGTACAAGTCAGGGAAGAGGCTGTGTTTGTTCACGGTAAACTGCACCATGGTTTAGCATAGGTTCTGAACACAGCCATTTTAGTGCAGTTGTTTTCTTGAACTTGTCACATTATTTATGTACTTATGCACCCTAAAGCAGGGCTGAAGAATTTGCAGCCTCCATATATTGTTGCACTGTAGTTCCCATCTGCCCCTGCCATCATATCAAATTGTGAGAGGTAATGGAAGTTGCAGTGCAGCAACATTTTGAGAATGACGTTTCCCTGTTTCCTCACAAAGTCACGAGACAGGCATCAAAAATGTCTCTGTATGTGAGGAAACTGGTCACATGGGGACATCCAAATCAAACACATTGGGGGTTTATAGTGTTATATTCTCTTCTTGTTAAAGAAGTTTTATCCCCTTAGGTAGAAATGCAAATGAGGCATGGGAAAGTGTAGTAGGTAGTAAGGATATTCTGTATAGTGAACTTGGTTAATCCTTTCATCAGTTCTGCCATAATCCAGTAGATATATTTGAGGAATTCTTTTTCCCCCCTTGTCATATTGCTCACTCTTACTGAAGTGAAATTATCTCAATTTTGACAGAGCATTCTCCTGAGTGATAACTCCAGTGATAGTGAGTCAGCAACTGATGAAGACGGGGAAGAAGGGGAGGAGTTCACACTTTCTAGGGAAGAACTTCACAATATGCTGCGATTGCACAAGTACAAGAAACTGCATCAAAGTAAATACAGCAAAGACAAAGAGGTAAAAAAATCTAGCACATAATTTTTTTCATAGTGAACCATGCTACTAGACGAGAATAGATTTAACTGTTTCCAGCTCTTAATATACTTGATACTATTCTATTCCCTTAAACCTTTTCATTACCCTTCCTGTTTGTAAAGCAGTGGCAGTACAGTGGTGCCTCATATAACGAGTGCCGACCTTTTCATTACCCTTCCTGTTTGTAAAACAGTGGCAGTATTATTATTCTGTAGTCTATGGCTAGAAAAGAGGTGTGGTTATCTCTTCCTTTTTGCTGTAGTCTATGGCTGAAAAAGAGGTGTGGTTATCTCTTCCTTTTTGTTCTTTTTTCCAAGCTATCTGCACGTTGTGCCTGAAGTACAGTGATATAAGAAGAAAGCATTAATTTGTGATTTTTATTTTTATTTTTTTTGCTGGTTTTACACAATATATTTTACTTGGTGCTCTTGCATATCTCTTGTACCTAACTTTACAGCCCGTTGCCCAGAAAAAAAACAATTACTTTTGTTTGGTGTGGGGTTTGGGGCTTCAGTGTCCCGTCCCCTTAACACCCAACTTGATAGCTTTTTCAGCAGTCATTTAAAAGTTATTTGGGGACCACGTTTAACTTAATACATTCCTTTCAAGAACTTTATGTTGTAGATCATACCATATGTTAAGAATCTGTATTTTCTGAAAAGATATCTGAATTTTTTAGTTCAATTGTCTTGCTTACTTACTTAATCCTAGTATAAAAAACAAAAACAACTATTCAAATTTGTTTCAGTTACAGCAGTACCAGTATTACAGTGCAGGTTTACTTTCCACATATGATCCTTACTATGAGCAGCAGCGTCATCTCATAGGACCCAAGAAAAAGAAGTTCAAAGAGGAAAAGAAATTAAAAGGTAAGCACTGTATTGATTTTCTCTCTTGTTCTCCATATGTTTTGGACTACAACGGTCTTAAGTCTTATGATTCGCTATACTTGCTGCAACTTGTGGAAGTTGTAATTTCAAACATCAGCTTCATTTAATAATCTCTGTATAGCTTTATTTCTTTCCTGTACCCTCTTCATTATTTGGCATCTCTTTAAATTTGAAAAATGAAAGATGTTACACACACACACACACACAAAAAAACACACACAATAAGTCCTTAGGTGGTTACTTTGCAAATTTAAGGTCATACTTTTCTGATGTTTTCTATCATTGTTTATTTTATTACTTTAGTTTGACATATATTCTGGCTTTTGAAATGTGAACAGCTTTGGAATTGCTTAAGTAATAAGAAATAAAGTAATACATGCCTCAGCATGTATAACAAAAATTAAATTAAAATGGCATAAAATATCTAAATAAACATGAATGGGATATGTTTGACAATTATGGGTTTAGTGTTAATGGCTTCTACATTGTTAAAGAAGGAAAATGATATGATATCCTGCTCTTACTCAGCCAAATTGAAAAAGGTTAAAAAAAAGAAGAAACGGGATGAAGAAATATCCTCTGAGGAATCTCCACGGCGCCATCACCAGACCAAAGTTTTTGCCAAGTTTTCTCATGATACACCTCCCCCAGGGTCCAAGAAAAAGCATTTGTCCATTGAACAGCTGAATGCACGCCGAAGGAAAGTATGGTTGAGCATTGCTAAAAAAGAGCTGCCCAAGGTGAGTTTTCTGAATAGAAAAACCAAGAATGTGGTAGTGGAGAAAACATCAGCAAGCACAAGAATGCAGAAAACAGTCTAACATTCTATTATTTACTGTACTATCAACACTAACTTGCCTCTGACTTCTGTACACGCCTATTCAGACATCCATTTTTGCATTTCATTTAAATAAATCTTCTGTTTACATAGGAAGGGGCAGTAAATTGACATGGGCAAAAGACGGGAAGGTGAGAAGCCTATGAATTCATAGAGTGAAACATGTCTAAAATTTATTTCTTTTTGATCTGAGATATACAGAAAGGAGATAATTGCTACAAAGAAATTGAAGGAAAGATAGACTTCTTTCATTTATTCATTTTACTTTATATAGCTATTGTAATTCATTTTCTAGATGATATTTTTTTTTGAAATGGCAAAATTACCTTTAAAAGATATTACCAAGCTATAACCTTACTTCTTTTCTTCAGGCATATAAGCAAAAAGTATCTGCCCGAAACCTGTTCTTAAGCAACAGCAGAAAGGTATGATATATCATGCATCTTTTTATATTCCGATAAAGCAACTTAGTTTGTGATGAGCTTTTAATTTTTAGTTTATTCATTTTTATTCTGTCTTTCAAATTATTATAGATTGCTTAAAATACAGTAATAAGTTGCTACTAGAGTAGACCCACTGAATCAGTAGCGGTTTAGTGAGTCAGCTCCTCTGTATGTTTTTCTGATTCAGTGAACCTACTCTACAACTTACTACTGAATTCCAGCCTTAGAGTGTTAGCAACATAATTCTATATGTGTCTATATGGAAATTAGCCCCAAATGAGTGGGTATACAATTGCAGCCTTAATTTTAAAAAATAAAATACAATAACCTTAAGTCGAACACCAAAAATACTGTAGATTAAAAGGTGCAGCATTTGAATCAGTGTAACAACCAAACATTATATTAAAATGCTTTGGAAATTTTATCTTTGCCTGATATGAACTGATGCTCATGCCTCAGAGGTTCCAACGTGTGCCTCCAGTGCTAAATTTGGATCAAATCATATATCCAGATTGTGGAGCTTCCTTCAAAGGGAGTACAATACTTTTTAGAATAAGGTAAGCATACACTGTCCCTTCTTCGATTCACATTTTAACATAGTGAGGGAGTTTCAGTGTGTCAAAGAACCTTGACAGCAATGGCTAGACTCCGTTGTGAGCCTGGACCCCTAGCAGGGTCACCCAAGGCAGAATATTTACAGCTCAGGCTCTACTTTTGGAACATAGAATGTGAGGAATATGATTTAGGATAAACTGAAAACTCTGAAGAAAGAAATGGAATGTAAGCACTGCAGTGTTTGGTGTCAGTGAATGAAAGTAGACAGGAATGGGATATTTTCAGCCAGACAACTGCAACATGTTTTATTCTCAAAACGACAAACTCGGAAGAACTAGAGTGGTTCTAATACTGAAACAAAATGGAGCACAGGAACTTAGATGCTGTAATGCAAGTTCTGACAAAATAATACTTATCAGACTCCTGGGAAAAGCCATCAACATTACTATTATTCAAGTCAGTGTTATTCAGGTCAGTGCTGAAAAAGATGAAATTGAAAGCTGTTATGCAAGCATCCAAAAGGAAATTGATCAGACACCAAAACAAGATATGCTTCTAATCATAGGCAACTGGAAGGCAAAAGTAGTAAATAAAGCAGAACCAAATGTTGGGAAATTTCCCAACACTCCCCACCCACTAAAAGTCCCCACTAAAAATACAAACATCTACACCGCAAGCCAAGTAACACAGTCCAACTAACTATTCACTACTGGTGGTCTTTAAGCTCATTATTAAGTGCAATTATAGCTCTGGGATAAAAACTATTCAGAATTTGGTCTAGAAACGAAGCAGGAGAATGACTCAGAGTTCTGTGAAGCCAACAGTCTGTTTATGGCAAATACACACTTCTAGCAAACAAACACAGTACACATGGACATCATCAGACAGCCAAGATAGAAATCAAGTATTGTGTAATTGGAAGCAGAATGTGGAGAAGCTATATTCTCTCTGCCAAAACAAGGCCAGGAGCAGATTGTGGTATTGATAATGAACTGTTTATATCAAATACTACCATAAATCTAAATGCAAGCACTAAAAGAATTGTAATGCCAAAATACAATTTAAATAAAATTTCTGATGAATTTAAAGTCCACATAAAAACAGATTTGCATTACTCACCTAAATTGACCATGAATAAGAACAATTGTAGATTGAAACAAAAAATGTTAAAGAATGCAAAAAGACAATTCCTGTAGTAAAAGGAAAAACCTAGATGGATGACAGAAAAAAACACTTAAATTGTTGGAGACAGGAAAGACGAAAACATAAAATGTGACAGAAGCAAGGTAATCCTGAATGCAGGTTTTCAGTGACTGTTATGTAGCGCCAAAGAGAACTATTATGATGGCTAGAACAGGAAAATAGAAGAGAACAACAAAAGAGGAAAACCAGGATATCTCTTCCATAAGATTCAAGAAATCAAAGGGAAATTTAGGCCTAGATTAGGAATGCTGAAAGACCCAACAGGGAAGCACACTGTCTAACCCAGAGAAAATAAAGAAAAGGGTAGAAATAGTATACTGAAGACCTATACAAAAGAGATAAAAGGAATGACAAATTCCTTTGAAGAGGAATCCTATAAGAACCTGCAGTTCTAAAAAGTAACATGGGGGTGTAGATGGAATAATGAATAATGGAATTATTTCAAGCCACAGACAGAATCTGTTAAAATTCAAAAAGAATATGCAAACAAATATGGATAAGAAAAAAAGGCCCACAGATTGGAATTGCTCAATATACATTAAAATCCTCAAGAAAGGAGATGCCAGGGAGTTCAGTAACTATAGAACCATTGTTCTAATTTCCCATACAAACAAATTGATGCTCAAAGTGTTGCAACAGTGGCTTTTACTTTATATGAAGAGAGATATATCTGATGTTAAGCTCAATTGTGAAAAGAAAGAGCCACTCAAGATCATATTGCAAATATCTGCTGGCTACTGGAGCGCATCAAAGAATTTCAGAAAAAGTCAGTCTGTGCTATATAGACTACCACAAAGCCTTTGATTCTGTGGATCATGAGAAGCTATGGATTGTTCTGAGAAAAATGGGTGTGCCTCAACACTTGATTGTCCTAATGCATAAGAAACTACTATGAGGACAGAATATAGAGTGACAGAATAGTTGCCTATAGGCAAAAGTGTCAGACAAGGATACATTTTATTTCCTTGTCTGTTCAGTCTATACACAGAATATATACAGAAAGCCAGACTAGATACACATGAAGATGGAATGAAAATTGGTGGAAGAAACAGTTATAATAATTTTAATAATTGAAGATGTACCGATGACACCATCTTAATGGCAGAAAGCAGCTGGCTCACTATGTATGGGTGTGAAAGCTGGAGAGTAAAGATAACTGACAGGAAAAAATATTGATTCGTTAGAAACATGGTGCTGGGGAAAGCTTTGCAGGTACTCTGGACTACAAGAAAAACAAACAGATCCTATAGCAAATCAAGCCGAAACTATCTCTGGAGGTGAAAATGATGAAACTGAGACTGACATGCTTTGGACACATTGTGAGATGGCAAGATTCCCTGGAAAAGACAATATAGTGATAGGAAAAAGCAACAGGAAAAGAGAAAGACCAGTGGAAGATGGATTGACTCCCTAAAAGAAACTACAGCCTTGAGTTTGCAAGAGCTGAGCAGGGCTGTTTGGGACAGAATTTTGGATATTGCTCATTCACAGGATTGCCATAAGTCAGAGGTGACATAGTGACATGTAACAACAACAAAGCATACATTGACCATATCTCCGTCTTGTATCTCTGAGTTTCAGTTTAATAATCCTCCTTCAACTCTTTACCCAAACACTAATTCAGAACTGAATCTGGTTTTTTATACAGTAATTGCATACATAATATTGATTGTAGTATTATTGCTTTATATTTATATTATCTCATTTATGTAGAAGATATAAGCTATTTTTCTTGAAGTATTTGAAAAAGTCTTACCTTTTATGTGTATGTTTGAGCTATAAAGATTCATCTTTGTTGTGCAAAGAAAATTCTGACTATAACAGCAATAGATTGACTTTGGCTTATTTTTTATTATTTCATTTTTCAAATAAGTTGTTTCAGCATTGAAAACCGTAATGCTGTGGAAAAATGGCAAGACTTTGAGGATGTCACCTCCATTGCTTCTGTATGCCTGCATCTTATTTTAAAAGACCACCATATTTCTCTCTCTCTCACTGTCCCCCTGGTAGCTGGCCCACCAGTGTATGAGAGAGGTGCGTCGAGCAGCTATTCAAGCCCAAAAGAACTGCAAGGAGACTCTGCCACGGGCACGACGCCTTACAAAAGAGATGCTTCTTTACTGGAAGAAGTATGAGAAAGTAGAGAAAGAGCACCGCAAACGAGCTGAGAAGGAGGCACTGGAGCAGCGTAAATTGGATGAAGAGATGAGAGAGGTGAGGCTAAATCACGCAAGGATGAAAATCCAAATATCAAGCTATTAACCATGATGATTTTTGGCAACACAGACCTTTAGTTAAGAAGTAAAATCCTTCACACCTTTTCAGGAGCTGTCTTTTATGAGGGGCAGCACAGCCTTATTTCTGTGTATCCGTAAGTGGCTGCTGCCTGAACTCTATTTTTATCTTTCATTTTTGTATAATCAGACCAATTCTTTCTTTATTTTATAAAGTATAGGCTGAAATCCTGTTGCTTTGTTATGCATGCAGAAGGCAAAAAGTTTAACATTTAGTCATTCATAGATAGCAATTAACAACTCCCTGCTGGGATTCTTGGGAACGTTTGGCTGCTGGCTTGGTGAATGATTGAGAATCCAAGCAGGGACATGTTACTTGCCAGCTAGGACCAACTGGATCTTGCACCTTTTGGCATTTGCGTGCATAACAAAGCAACAGGATTCTAGTCGCTGTGTCTGTTTAACATGATGTCTACCCTAGATTAGCAAGAAAACCCAGGCTAGATGTCAGCTAGGGCCCTTACAACTATTTAGATGTTTTTGAAATGGTATCTTTAACTTGTGAAAGGCATCCCAGTAGAATTGAAAATATAATGAAATATGATTAGCTCTTGCTTTTAATTAGAACACTGGTTTTGAAGTTAACTACACCTTTTTACTTTTTTGGAGGCTATGGTCCTGTAGATATGACATTGTTTCCTGTTTTTCTTGTAAATTATTTTAGGCTAAGAGGCAGCAGAGAAAACTTAACTTCCTAATTACACAAACTGAATTGTATGCCCACTTCATGAGCCGTAAACGAGATATGGGACATGATGGAATCCAGGAAGAAATCTTAAGAAAACTTGAAGACAGTTCTATCCAGAGACAGATTGATATTGGTGGAGGAGTTGTAGTCAACATCACCCAGGAGGATTATGGTAAGGAGTAAAACTGGACTCCAGCAGGATTTAGAGAGATCTTAGAAGTCATAATTATGTTGCATGCCTGTGCAATCCTATGAACTTTGAGCTTTTAGGTATGTTTCAGGAACGTTAAAAAATTGAGATTTAATCTGTGTAGTCTTTTAAAATTTGTTGATATCTTCAGATAGCAACTACTACAAGGTTCAGGCTCTGAAGAATGCTGAAGATGCCTTCCGGATTCATCAGGCCCAGGTGAGTATTGAGGAGAGCATCATATAGTAAGAAAATGTTTTGAAGATTACATCTGGTTGTAATCTATGCATTAGATTGTTTTTACTGTACTATATTTGTATCAGATCTAGAACAAGAGAGTAGCTACAGGTGGATTATAAGTTGATGCTCAGATTTAAAACACAGTTGTACTTGTTAACTTCAGTGACTCAGATTTCTAATAAAACTTGTGTAGAAAGAACTTCAGCATTTTCAGTGTAGTCCTCTACACCTCTACTTAGAAGTAGGTCCCATAAATTTGGGTCAGTCTTACATCAAGGTAAGTGTGTATATAATTGTAGCCTAATCTCTCTCTCTCTTCCTTTCTCCTTATCTAGACGAGATCATTTGATGAAGATGCTAAAGAAAGTCGAGCAGCAGCTCTTCGGGCTGCCAACAAATCTGGCACTGGCTTTGGAGAAAGCTACAGCCTTGCCAACCCATCTATCCGGGCAGGAGAGGACATTCCACAGCCTACCATTTTCAATGGTAAACTCAAAGGTTACCAGCTGAAAGGCATGAACTGGTTGGCTAATCTGTATGAGCAGGTATGCCAGTGTTTCTTCAATCTAATTTTCATAAATGCTTTTTTCTTCTTATGACTTCAGAAACAGATGAATTTCACTCACATGTTTTTGCCTAAATTTCTTTTAATTAAAGGAACAAATATTGTGAGAATAAACCAAGCAGTGCTTTCAGTGACAACTTGATTGTTTTTCATAGCGGCAGCATTATGGTACTTCCCTCAGATAATATTTAAAGTTAATTGAAAGTTTCAGTTTTGTACTGATTTCTTGTGCCTTGCCTAATAAATAGGTGCAAAAATGTTCTGTGCATTTTGCGCCTTACACAAACCAGATTGTACAGTGTTTGCTATCCTTGCAGGGCATCAATGGGATTCTAGCAGATGAAATGGGCCTGGGCAAAACAGTGCAGAGTATTGCTTTGTTAGTCCATCTGGCTGAAGTAAGTGGATTCTTTGTCTCTTATACTGCTATCAATGAAAACTAATATTTAATGCAGGGTTCAGATGGGCCTTAGTTTATACTGTTGCACACAAACATTTGTTTTCAGACCTTTTATCAACAGAATTAAGAGTGCAGTCTCTTGTTGTTCAAATTGTTTCCTGGATTTATATAGCTTCATCTTTCTAATATGCCTGAGAACTAATCAGCTAATCTCAGTCTTCATCTCCTTCATCCAGTAGTATATTTCCCTTCACTTTTGTCTGTTTTAAAACTGCAAACACATAAAAGGATCTATGTCACTTCATTCTGTATAGCAATGGCCCCTAACCTTTTCTGAATCACAGACAATTTGGCGCTCACATATGGATGGGGTGTGCTCTTGGATGGGCGGGTTGCGCTTGCGGAGAGGGGCGGACCTGTGTGCATGGGCGGAGGGATGGGACATGCATGCGTGGAGGAGAGGGGCATGCTTGCAGAGGGGCAGGGCACACATGTGTCCGGGTGGGGTGTGTGGGGGAGTGCGTGCAGGGGAGCAGGAGATCTGTCTTCACGGCCCGATCCTGCCAAGTCATGTTTTGACTTGGAGAATATCAACATATTTGTGAAGATACAGAGTTGCACTGTGAGATGAATATTTTTAGACATGAAAAAAAACTCAAAAGTTGCTAGAATAGCATAACAATAAATAGTATTGTGTCTCATAGCAGCCATTTTCCCAGAGATAATTGGGGTTGCTACTTGTTACAGCATCCCTATAGAACAGTGGTCCCCAGTCTTTTCCCAACAGCAGACTTGTTGGGGGGGTCCATGTGCAGAACAGGTGGGCTGGGGTGTACTCACGTGCATGTGCAGGGGTGGGGCATGCTTGTGGGAGTGGGAGTGCACTTGTGCGCATGTGTAGGGGCATGCGTGGGGGTGGGAGCATGCTCGTGCGCATGCCTGGGGAGCGTGCTCGCAGGGGGCATGCTTGCGGGTAGGCAAGGTGGGCTCTCGGGACTGGGGGAGTACATGTGGGGGGGGGTGTAAATCTGTCTCCGTGGCTTGGTCCTGCCAGGCCGCGGCCCCGGGGGCTAGAGTCCCCTACTATAGAAGATATAACAAGAACTGCTTTATAGGAGGTAGCCATGTTAGTCTGCTTCAGCATGTACAACAAAAATAAAATAAAATATGTTCAGGGAAGTGGATTATATTGAAAAACAGTGAAATGCATTTGTTAGTCTTTATGGTGGCACAATTGTTTTGCTTTTGTTTTTGTTATAGATATGGAAGGAAATTTCAGTAAACATTTTAGCTTTCTGGTAAACCTAGTTACGTATAGCTTCAGTGGGCAACTTTGTGACCGCATACACATTTACTTTATATAGAATGTTTGCTTGTTTCACTGTTTCATAAATTGATGTTTCTCATTAGTTAACGCTTGCTTTTTCCAGAGAGAGAACATTTGGGGACCCTTCTTAATCATTTCACCAGCTTCTACGCTAAACAACTGGCATCAGGAGTTTGCCAGATTTGTCCCTAAATTCAAGGTAAGATTTGGGATGGTGCTAGAACATTAACTTAATTGAAAGTTTCAGCTTTCTGTCATATAAATACTTTGCTTAGCTTGAAGATTTAGAAGATGCAACTGCTTGTTATCTTTTCTTCTAGATGTTTTTTACTAAGCCCCTTTAATAGTTTCATAATTTTTCATTGTGGTGTTTCTGCACTGAGATTTTTGTCTCATTCCTTGAACAGAAAACCATTCTTGAGCTGGTTTATTCTTTATGCAGCAGGTTGGCATACAATTCTGTCATCCTCCCCAGTTTGTCATCATGATGGCAACTCTGAGCTAAGACTCGGAGAGTGTGATAGCCCCAGGATCGTCCTCTGATTTTCATTGCCAAATAGGGAGTTGAACCCAGATGTCCTCTAGTCCTAGTCCAACATTCTGCTATACTGAAGTATCTCTTCCTAAACATGTCCCCTGAACTCTGCCAATGAGCTGTCTTGAACAAGTATGATTTGGGTGCCATTTTTGCATAAAAAGAGAAGTGACTACTACTATTCTTCCCAGGCTGAAGAAACTGTTCACTTGTTCATTTTATGCAGTTCTTTGCTTGTTCAACAGATGGCAGTACAGCACTTATTATTATTTCTAGTTGTCTGATTATTGATTTTGGCAGTGAATTTTGGCTGCTTCCTGTTCCTTATGACAGTAGTTCTTATTCTGCAGTGCAACTCTGAAACTTTGGGGAAGATACAAGGAGTGTGAGAAGAAAACAAATGGCAGTAAATAAATTTAAATAGATAATCATGCTGAGCTGTCATCTAGTAAGTTATTAAAACAGACAAAAATATTTTAAGCCTTGTATTCTCAAAGGCTTTCATGGTCGGGATCCGATGGTTGTTGTAGGTTTTTCAGGCTTTTTGGCTGTGTTCTTCAGAACAGCCCAAAAAAACCCAACAACTATTTTAAGCCTTCCTTGTGAGCCACAAAAATTCTAAACTTTGCAGCTTGTTGTTTACCCTCTGTAATTTTATCCAGTCTTTAACCAGTGAATGAGCAACCTAAGATCCATGCTGCTTAGAATTTTTTTCTTTTTTTCTTTCAAATCAGGAATAATCGTCTGATTTCAGTATCCCTCAATCAGTAGTAGTGCTTTCTGGGATTTTTATAGAGATCTTAAATATTCTTCTTCAATTGTGTTAAAAAGTATTTATTTGGAATGTATTTGTGTGAACTTTCTAGGTGCTACCTTACTGGGGAAATCCTCATGATAGAAAAGTCATCAGGAAATTCTGGAGTCAGGTACTATCACATATATTGCATTAAAAAAAAGCAAACAGACCCAAAGCCATAGCTGATGAGAATGTGAGCATATATTTCTGAAAAGAAGAATGAGGGAATACATTCATCATTCTCAGTTTCATTTCAACATTCAGCCACTCACTGATACAAGCCTTGTGCTATCATCCAAGGCCCAGAATTCCAGCACAGTGCCCTTCATTCCATATTGTCACCTGTGTTTCTGGGAATTCCCCTTCTGTGGCCCAACATTTGAGCACTTCTTAAGAGAAGAATCCGCCACAGCTTTTGCCTTGGATCTTTGAACATGGTGAGAAAAGTCCCACCTAGGTTCTGTAAATGATACTTTGAGTCCCCGGTTGGAAGAATGGGAATAAGGGAGGGGGAAGGAACCATGTCATTTTGTTTTCACATAAAATATTGTGCAGCCCCCCTCACGACCTCCAAAGTAGGATTTTGAAACTGATTACGCACCCCATCCCAGAATGTTTGGGCCCTTTATGGCCCTTGGCACAGAAAGTTGGCTTGCAGACTTTCTGAAGTTGCCCACCCTTGTTTTAGGGCAGTGGTTCTCAACCTTGGGTAACCCAGATGTACTTGGATTGCAATTCCCAGATGCCTTCACTACCAGCTGGGCTGGCCAGGGTAGCTGGGAGTTGCAGTCCAAGAACACCTGCTTTACCCAAGGTCGAGAACCTCTGTTGTAGGGCTATCTTGGTGGAAGTCTGATTATATAGGTGTCTAGTGTGCTATCAAGTAAATTTTGACTTATGGTGACTCTTTCCAGGGTTTTGAGGTAGAGCATACATGGAAGTGGGGTGCCCCTGGGACTGTGCAGCATGCCAAAGGCCACACAGGCTGATTCTTATTGCAGGAGGCCCAGTGGGGAATTGAACTCCTAACGTTTGGCTTCCTAGCCAGATACCTAAACCTATAGTCAGAGGTATACTCCTGTGTACCAGAACTAGATATTATGATGCAGTTTTTACAACATGAGGCCTCACAGTCATGAAATGAAAATCTGATAGCGGCCATTCTTTTCTCCTCTTTTCTAAACTGGGAGCATTTGGGAGATTCCAGGTCTCCACAGATTGGCAGACAAATGCATGAAGCTTGTGGGCATCTTGTTATGCATATATTACCCTGATGTCAGTTCCTGATATTTTGTTTAATTATTAGCCAGGACACAAAAATTTGGAAAACACTGAAAAAGTCATCATATGATTGTTGAATAGAAACATTCGATTTTTGTACTACTGTACTTGGTTTATGTAACCCTGGTCTTTTTTCCCCCTATTACAGAAAACTTTGTATACTCAGGATGCTCCTTTCCATGTAGTGATCACCAGTTATCAGCTTGTAGTCCAAGATGTGAAGTATTTCCAACGGGTTAAGTGGCAATACATGGTACTGGATGAGGCACAGGCACTCAAGAGTAGCTCCAGGTAATTCGTGGAGAGAAAAAAATGCCAGAATTTGGTGGCTGTTGACAGAAAGGAAATTAGTATACAGGAGATATAGGCATACAAAATTCTGAATGATTTTTTAAAATATTATTTTGGGGGTTGCATTGTGATGCTTATGGATTTTTCTTTCTGTCTTAATATGTTATGACTCTAATCTAAATATGTACTGCACTAGTAGCTTGGATGAGTATAAGTATGATGTGAATTTTAAAGTCACTGAAAATGAACAGATGGGTGATGATGTCATAGTAGTGCTGTGCTAGGCCAGCCAAAAAGAGGAGGTGCTTCTACCACTAGGCAAGTGACAAACAGCAGATGTAAACCAGGTAGTACAGTTTAGCATAGACAAGAGGTGTGCCTTATCCATCACTGGTATCCTGCCACTGCCACTACTCAAAAGCTATGTGAACTGTAACTTACAATGAGCAACAGCAGCCAGCAGCAAAAGGAAGAACCACTGCTTCTTCTACTCTGTATTCTTCAGCTAGTTCTTTTAAAAAAAATCAACTGTTCAGTGAAATATTGGGAAAAAAGGAAAATGTTGAGACCTGTCTAAAGAAGTGGACTTGTCCATAAAAGCTCACATTAAAATATAGCAGTTAGTCTTTATGGGGTTACAAACCTGACATCCTAACACAGACTAGCGCAGCTACCTCTTGTTATACCATGTTGGCCACTGTGCTGTTGCAGAACAGGAGAGATGTCATCAAAAGTGGTAGACCTGTGTGCAATCCAGTGAAGCTCCATGCAACCTGAGATTGAAGCATGGACTTTTTAATTAGCATCAATTTGCCACCACTTGTTGTGTCACTCCAGTTGTGCCAGTGGAGCTGTGCAACAGGATTTGGGCCAATATATCAGTTTTAACAGCTTTTGGGGAGGCGGGAACAGCATGAAAATGTATCTGGTCTTTTCTGTGTCCAGGGAAAGACCTTGGAAATTGATTTTTTACATGTGAGCAGCAATTACATTTTTGTCACTCATTTTGATAGCTTATTTTTAATACTTAGAATACAATGTATTTCAGTGTCCGCTGGAAAATTTTACTTCAGTTCCAGTGCCGAAATCGACTGTTACTAACTGGGACACCCATCCAAAACACCATGGCTGAGGTATGCTTTGTTCTCTTTGGTTTATTCTGTTTTGTTTTGTTTTAAATAAGGCCACCTTCTGCCTGCCGTGGAAGGTGGCAAGAATTGTCTTTGTCACTGCTGTTGAAGGCTTTTCCCTCAAGGCAATATGAATGTGTGTAATTTTTGAAGATTAAACAATTACTGGCAATTGGACTTTGGTTTAGCCTATTTGATACACTCTGTAGTATGGTTATTTCAGCAGGTAACTTTTAACAATTGCATTTGCTTTTGTGTTGCAGCTCTGGGCTTTGCTTCATTTCATTATGCCAACATTGTTTGACTCCCATGAGGAATTCAATGAATGGTTTTCTAAAGATATTGAAAGCCATGCGGAAAATAAATCTGCCATTGATGAGAGTGAGTACTGGGCAGGAATCTGAGTTCCATATCTCAAGCATGACTGATCTTAAGTACAAGAATGCATTACATGATTTTTATATAACTGTAGATCCAGGTAAACATATTCCATACTATTAAGGAAAATGGTTTTGTGGAAAATGGAGACGTCAGCAATATATATATAAGCAAGTTTTTGGGAACAGCAGCACCAGGGATGCTTTTAGGGTACAGAAGAGGAAAAGAGAAAGGGAAGAGATCACAACTACATGAAGTCTCCCACCACTAGTGCTAAACTCTAAGATTTGAGGGAAATTCCCACAAAAGTGCAACATTGATAAAAGCATTGAGCTGCTGGTGCCCTATAGTACTCCTGTTTCTAGTACTGAATTGCCAAGAGTCAAAAACTGTGAATTGAGTTGCTTGAGTTTTATAGCATTTTCAGTAAAGACTAATTTAAGTAGTGGCACATAGGTTTTTAGCATTAAAACTGGTGATTACAGGTTGCTTTTTCTCTCAAATTCCAGATCAACTTTCTCGCTTGCACATGATCCTGAAACCTTTTATGCTGAGGAGAATCAAGAAAGATGTGGAAAATGAGCTGTCAGACAAGGTGCCAGATGAACTTAGCTGAAAGATAAAACTTTGCATTTTCAGGATTATGCATTATTATGAAATGCTTGTGTCTTGCATTAAAACAGATTTTGAAAAATGTCACCTTATCCAACATATGTTTTGTTAGGTCCAGAGCTGCTGTTATGGGAAACAGAAGGAAGCCCAAGAAGGCATTACTTTCAATATTGCCTGATAATTAGTATAAACATAGTATTTATTTTCTTGGCATACCTTTCCATACCTCTTGTTTTCAGTTTAGATCCATTGGTGTTAAGTCATCCTTCAAAGAAACCGGAGAACTGATCAGTGACTCTGATACAGTGAACTGTCCCAACTCTATTAGTAGCCAATTAGAAAGCAGCTATCAAAGTGAATATTATGCAAGAACCTGGGCATTTCTGCAGCAGAATTATGCAATGCTGAATTCTAAATTCTGTGAGAATACCAGACCCAGAATACAGTGGTGCCCCACACCACGACGATAATCCGTTCCCCTGAAATCGCTGTTAAGCGGAAACATCGTCCAGCGAAAACAGTTTCCCCATTGGAATGCATTGAAACCCACTTAATGCATTCCAATGGGAAAATTACCTCATTGTCCAGCGAAGATCGCCCATAGGGGAAGCCATTTTCCGAGCGCCGATCAGCTGTTAAAATGGCTGCCCTGCGAAGCATGGGTCCAGAAAACACAGGGCAGCCATTTTGCGGAGCTGGAAAACATCGTCGTCTTGCGAACAAACGGTTCACGAAGCACGGACCTAATCGTAGTCAAATGAAAATCCCCCATAGGAAACATTGTTTTGTGATTGCTATAGCAAAGCCACCTAGCTTTATTAAATATAGAAGAAACCTTGCTTTTTTGCCATTTCGGCTGGGGGATGCTTCCTGTCCAAATGTTCCTGAATGAAGAACAGTTTTTTGTATGTTTATTCTGATTGTGGACCCCCTGAATGAATATGTGCCTGAATATTTCTTGGCCTCTTATGTGCTATGACCATTCATAGATTGTGTGTCTTAAACCTTACTTTCTTGTTGATTTCTTTTGGTAATAGTCTAATCTGTTTCCATTTTTCAGATTGAGATTCTTATGTATTGCCAACAGACCAGTAGACAAAAATTATTGTACCAAGCACTGAAGAACAAAATTTCCATTGATGATCTTCTGCAGTCCTCCATGGGTACTACTCAGCAAGCACAAAATACCACAAGCAGCCTCATGAATCTAGTCATGCAGTTCAGGAAGGTGAGATGTATGGATATTGGTCATTCTGATATTCTTATTAGATAAGCATTAGAACAAAAATTATTGTGTGCCAACACTCCCTTGCTTCTGAGTGCAAGACTAACAAATTCCAGTCTTTCTTCAGTTGTGACATTTATACTGTAGCTTGTAACTTACAGCTTGAGGGGATGCAATACAGTATAATTTGGGGTGGGAGATGTGAAAATTTTGGAAGGGAAGGAAGAAAGAGGATAGAGAAAATAACAGCTAGGCTTGATGTGTGCCCAGCTTAGAATAATTACTTCTTAAGATATAGTCTCCAGCCACCTTTTGTGAAGTAATTCCGTCTGGGATGTACTTGAGGATAACCAGAATTCTGCATTTTTAAGCATATTCAAGGGGAACTATGGGAGTGTTGTTACAGCAATACACAATGTGCCTTTTGCATGTGGACTGAACACATGACCACACTGCTAGGACTCATCTGGCACCTTATCTATTAGTTGTGCAAACCTCTGCAGTTCTTGTTGCACATGCACAAGTGTCCAATGGGAATTCAGCCAGTGTGGGTTTCCCCCCCAAACCTTTGGAATGTCTAAACAGTGTGCATAATTAATTTTCACAATATCTTCTAACTCTTGACATTTTTAAAAAATAGGTCTGCAATCATCCAGAACTCTTTGAGCGACAAGAAACTTGGTCACCATTTCATATTTCGTTGAAGCCATACCAGATTTCAAAATTTCTCTACCGTCATGGGCAGATCAGGGTGTTTAACCACTCACGGGACAGGTAAGTAATGTTGGTGTTCCATCAGCTTCTTCAGTTCCATATTTTCAGTCACTAGAATTTCTTCAATGACTGCTGTGAAGAAGAGAGGATGTTTTTCTATCTCTCATTCTTCCAGACTTTGCTTATGTTTGATGAAGTCATAGAGCTGCTAGACAAAATAAGCTTCTTAGAGGAAAGGTGGAATTCAGAAATAACAAAAGTTGGAACTACCAACACTTGCTTACTTTGTCATATTTATCTATTTGTTATACTTATATACATATCTTTGCTCAGTGAACTCCCTCAGACTGAGGGAGAATAGCTGGCTGTCACCCAATGAGTTTCATGGTTCAGTGAAGACTTCAGAGTGGATCTCCAAAATCACAGTCTCACACTCTAATCATTACATTCTTGTGTTGATTTTTAGGTGGTTGCAGTTTTTACTTTCTCCTTTTGCACCAGATCACATCCAGCAGTCTCTCTTCCATAGGAGAGGTATGTTAAAGTTCTTGACAACACTGGATCAGTTTAACTCTTTATAATACATATCATGCCATTTTACTAGTGATAGTGGATTTAGCTTAGTTTTTCTAATTGTGGTTTAAGCTCCAAGGAAGGCAGTTTTAGGAACTTTTAAGCTATTCTATTCAATTACTAAATTATTTCATACTTCAGTATTCTTAATGTTAAGATTAAAGTACCTTCCTTCAGTTGAAATGCCTTGTTTTCACTGTTTCTTTGATGGAGTATGTGAAAAACAATTCATACACATTTTTATGGCATTTATCTCTGTACTGGAAAATCAAATCAAATAAATTTATTGTCATTGTAAGTATATACATGGTATACCCATACAGCGAAATTTACACAGACACCCATAGACCAGACCCACATGCAAACACATAAAAATCCCCAAACACTCCCCACCCACTAAAAATCATCCACTAAGAATACAAACATCTACACCGCTGACACTCGCTACTGGTGTACCCTCAACTATTTACTGCTATTTCCTTCTGCTGATTTGGCATGCATCCCCTATCTATTGTTTTATTTCTATTGATGCAAATTGTTTTCTAAATTGGACTCAAACCATTTAGGGTTTTATAGGTTAAAATCGTCCTTCTCAGTGTTGGCCGCCATGTTGTGGAACTCTCTTCCTGCAGCAATATGTCAGGCCCCAACCTTCCTTGGCTTTAGGAAACAAGTAAAGGCTGGGCTCTTTACTCAGGGTTTCCATACTCTTGCCTCTGTTTAATTTGATTCTGGGAGTTTTTGGTCTCTCTAATTTTTGATGACCCGTGATTTTATGGTTGATTGTTTGGTCTGTCACCATCTTGTATCTTAGTACAGATTTTTTTTAAGTTGTGGTTGTTTACTCTCTTGTTTAATATTTATTTGTTTATTATTGAATTTTAGTTTATGTTGATGTTCTTATTGTAAGTTGCCCAGAGTACTGGCCTGTTCCCTCAATTAGTGGGATTGATTGATTGATTGACTGATTGATGTTCCCTCGATTAGTGGGATGGATTGATTGATTGATTGATTGAATGAATGAATGAATGAATGAATAAACAAACAAACAAACAAACAAATAAAGGTAGGTATATTGCATTAATGCAAATGGGATATAACTTTCTATTCCCTGGTCTGCTTTCTATCTGACCAGGAGCATCTGTGTCCTGCATGAATTACACTTCAGTTTGTTCACCCTCGATTAGTGGGATGGATTGATTGATTGATTGATTGAATGAATGAATGAATGAATGAATAAACAAACAAACAAACAAACAAATAAAGGTAGGTATATTGCATTAATGCAAATGGGATATAACTTTCTATTCCCTGGTCTGCTTTCTATCTGACCAGGAGCATCTGTGTCCTGCATGAATTACACTTCAGTTTGTTCACCCTCAGTCAGTTCAATACCGACCCCAGTTAATGGATTAGGACAGATTTAGATGGAAAGAAAGTGGCGGGGGTGAGAGTTGAGCATCCTTAGTGTAAGCCACACACTCTCCTGTTGGTTTCATGTATATGTTAAATAGTGTAGGGAGGAAAGTGGGACTCTGAAGGACCTTACAGACCAACGGCCAAGGCATCAAACAGGTTTCCCCAGCACTACTATTGGGGTTTGCCCCTCCAGGAAAGAAAGACCAGAGCCACTACAACACAGTCCCTCTCAGTCCCATCCCAATCAGGCCACCCAGAAGGTTACATGGTCAGTAGTATTGGAAGCCACTGAGAGGTCCAACAGAGGCACACTCTCTTATCTAATTCTCAGCATAGATTATCAGCCAAAGCAACCAGAGCAGTCTATGTCCCATAACTACCCTATTTCCCTGAAAATAAGATCTAACCTGAAAATAAGGCCTAGTATGATTTTACAGGATGCTCATAATATAAGCCCTACCCCAAAAATAAGTCCCAGTTAAGCGAAACCCCACCCTCCATCATTGTGCAGCAACCAGAAGAAGATGACATGACTGTATTTGAGTAAATGTAGATTTTTGTACATGAAAAAATTAAAACATCCCCTGAAAATAAGCTCTAATGCATT